CCTTTATCTCTTCAGGCAAACGGCAACATTGGATCTATTTGTTATGTTCATCAGAGAGTAAGCTTTGTACCTGTTTGCTAAGTATTGATAGAGGACAATTTAACCAAGCTTTGTGAAGCTTACCTTCGCACCATACCGTCCAGGTTGTACTGAAGCAGTTACATTGAAGTCGAAGTGTTTTTGCACACATGTCATCTTTAGCGAGTTGTCCACAGTATGATTCTGTCCAAATAGGTTAATTCCCAGTGTTATTGTACTATTAGGACACCACATACCAAGACAGCAAAGTTTGTATATTGCTTTGAAAAAGAAACAATAACAATTGAGAGAAAATTGGTGAAAATTTCGCATGTTCCTTCCGCTAGAAGCAGCACTTTTACAGTAACAGACCCCACAGAACCATTAAGACAGCAAAACAACGATCTTTGCAGGTGGACTGCGATGTTATCAAATGCAGAAAAAAGGTAGAAAAAAAGATTCCTCCTTGAGAATGAGGAACCCCCTAAAACTGCCTTGCTCCCAACGTGCGGCTTCGTAGTGCCCAAGAAGTATCTTGGAAGTACCGGCTCGAATTCCGTCGACGTTTGATTTTTCCAAGCCTTTTTTCTGCCATTACTTAACTATGGATCATTGCTTTGCCTGGATTTTCACCTGGATGTCAAATATTTATATTTCATTAAAAGTTAGAACCATTTAGCAGCTTGTTGTATTTGTGGGAGCAGCGGTGGAAGGGTAGTTACATGTACATGCATTGCTTTCGAGGTCAAAGTGATATGAATGGAAACGTAGACTAAAGTTAAGAATTAATTCTGACATGGCTCCAGTAATAAGCTCAAGACATACTGCAAGTTAACCGAGTTACCAACCTGAAATCTGTAAACTCGTTCCAAAAGTTACTGTGATGTCTTTAATGTTCTGCTTGACTCTGAACATTAACTCCCTTTTACCTTTAGCAACGCACAGGATAAGGAAATGACAATCATAACAAGTTTAATTTCTTTGTATATTAAAAAATGGCCGTTCTGCTACATTCTTTTAAGGAAGCCATGACTTGCACAATTAGTATCTCTATTGATGCCGTTTAAATATTCGTAAGAGAATGTCAAAACACGTTAACAAAATGTAGCAACGAAAGTGCCGAGAACGATCAATTAATTCTTAATGATAGAACAAGTACTCAAATGTTCTTGAATATATGTAAATACGATGGAGGATAACCCCCACTTAACTTCTGGATTTGTTCTTTTTCGGGGGAGGGCGGGGGGGGGAAGAGAAGGAAGAGGCGTGAGATCCCTACCTGCCTTTCCCCAATGCTAGCTGAGTTTAAAGTTTTTTTATTATAAGCATCATTGTGTAACATGTATTCTACTCAGAGGAAATGTTTGAAGAACCTGGTAGGGTCCACGTCGTATGGTTTCCAGCCAGAGGCCTTTCGAAAAGGGCCGTTTCGTTGTGAAGACTCCATCCCACAGACAGATGCCCTCGTCTGTACGACTCTTTTGAGAAACCCTCTAAGAGGTAAAACATGCTGCTACTGAGGTATATCTCATTTGATTTTTGCCTTGAAGTCCTAAAATAGGTATGAAGATACGCTCAACAAATTCTGAAGATTTTATCGTTATTATTAATGTCTATCGAGAAAAGACTCAAAGAAACTGAGAAATTTCGAGTAATCCGTATGAAAAGGGAAAGGAAGACAGATGGAAAACCGAATGAGAGAATTGTTCGCTCAAAGAAAAACTAATAATAGAAATTTCCCGTACTGAGGCCAGTCAGAAGAGTAGTTCAATGTAATAT